TCCTTTAAAGTTGCTTTTTTTATAAAGTTGTTTACCAGCTAACTGCCTCTAAGTTGTTTTGGGTAGGTTCCTGGGAGAGAGATCAGCACCATATAGCTTCAAACCAGCCAGAACCATTTCAAGCTGCAGAAGACACCAGGGAGCATTACTCCGTGCCCATAAGATGACCTTTACTTCATTTAAATACAAAAATCTCTGCTGAGGGAAAAGCTAAAATGTCAGGGATGTGGGAGAGAGTGTTATCAAACTGTACCACAGGGATTCATCCCCACCCACACATATAACGATGCCTTTACTCCTTTTAAACGAGCACTCGGATCAAATAAATTTACCTGCCTGGTCGAATTTTGGGGAATCATGGCTTTGAGAATGATTCCCTGTGGTCTACTGATTTGCTACAAATATACTTTATTTTGTGTGACCACTATTTTTGGCGTTCCTTATCAATCTGTTTTTCACCAAGAGGCAGATCAACCAAGTCTGCTTAAAAAGGCACAAATGAATATGAGAAATGAAAAAGGAAAATTTGCACATTTATGAATGAAACAGATATTAAACAGCTGAGAGTATATTACAACTGTTTTATACACATAAAAATTTAGATGAAACTGACAAATTCCCCAAAATTTTAATTTTACAAAATTTATTTATTTTATTTAGAAACAAATAAAAGCTCCTAATCCCATAAACTTTCAGAGAAATGAACTAAAATTATAATATTTTCCCATACAATTGTATTGGTGAGTGCAACTCTAAACTAAATTACAGTTACTAAATTATATTTATAAATAAAGGAGTTTCTGTTTTTAAGGAGCTAATATAACCTTGATAACAAAGCCTTATTAGGAGACAGGAAAAAAAAATTACAAGGAAATATGACAAGAAACACTGATGCAAAAAAATCCTAAAAATACAATAATGAACCTAATTTAACAATGAATGGAAAATATACTATATTATGACCATTATTTTATTTATATCATGACGAAATTTTCTCAGGAATAAAAATTGGTTCAACATTAAACAAGCAATTACGTTAATCGCTTGTTTAATAAACTAAAAGAAAATTAATAGTTCCATAGATGCAAAACATAATTAGCATTCATTATTAAAAGAAAAAAAAAGAAGAAAGCTTGCTTGGATAATAAGTTTCTGTAAAAATTAACAGCAAGTAATACATTGTTGACATGTTGAAATTGTTTAACATGGAAAACAAAATTCATGTGATACTGTCACTGCTCTTATTCTGTATTTCTTAGCAATATTTTAAGATCAAACATTTAGATATCATTATGATTAAAAGATGTAAAAAGAAAGGAAGAAATAAAATATAATTTCATATATGACAATAGTTTTCTCTGAAAAAACTCAAAGAATCATGAATAAACTCTTAGGATTGGTCATTTTAGCAACATTGTTATAATTAAGATTAGTATACAAGAGACTTCTCCACATATCAGTGATCCTTAATTAGAAGAATATAGTTAAAAATAACTGTCCTTGTGAGAGTCAGCATTTAGTATTACACTAACCCCTTCACAGATAAAAACTGTAAACTCAGTTAAAATATTTGAAAGCATTGGAAAGTAGCCAAAAGCAAAGAGATACCAGAAGGGTTTTGAACTTTGCAGAAAGCAAGCATTCAGAGTGAGAAGAATGATTATGTGGCTTTATTTATATGACACTCAACAGTTCTTTAGCTGCAGCAGTTAGTACAGAAACTTGAGTTGACAGAAGATGGATCCTATGCTGGAAATCCCAGGAGAAAACATTAGAAAGGAGGAAGCAAATCAGGGAACTCTAAAATCTGCAATTCAAATCTTGACTGATCTCAGAATTACACATGCACAGGGGAGACTCTAAGAGGATCAGATGGAAAACAATTGGCAAATTAAAAGAATTTCATGAAGATTCTCACTAGTGCTCACCACAGGCAAGACAAGAATTTGGAGCTTGAGTTTCTCAACTTTGAGGGGCTTGGTAGAAACTTCAGGCTTCCTGTAGACTCATCACCTTAGCATTGATCATTGTCAACATTGCATGATCCATTGTCAAGTAGAAAAAGAAAAATCAATAGGAAGGAAATGTGAGATGACCCCAGTGATGAAATTATTCAAATGAAGAAAATTTAAAACATCATAGCAGTAATATGTCCCAGGATCTAACAGAAATATATAGTCATGAAGAGTGAACATTTAAGAAAACTCAGCAGAGGAATGGAAATTACAAAAATAAACCAAATAGAAATTCTGGAAATAAAAGCCCAATAATTAAGGACGAAAATTTTACCACGTGAGTTTTGTAGAATATTACGTATGGCAGTATCAAAGATCAATATATTTAAAGTTTAGTTCATTGAAATTATCCAATTTGGGTCAGATTCCTGTCCCAGGCTGTGTGTAGACATGTTAATCATTTAAGGAGTATTTGTTTAAAATGATAATACAAGATTGATTAGCCCTGAATTCATTTAAACTCTCTCTTTCCCCTTCAAGCTAAAGACACCAAGAAACAAGTAACTAAAAATATTTGCAGATTTACAGGAATATCACAATCAACAGATTTTCAACAAATAGTTTTTATAACACTCTGTTCCAGACACCTAGAAGTCTCCAGTTATTGCCTTAAGCCTGATGGAGAACCCAATCATTGTCCTAATTAACTCCCGGTTGTTCCTCTGGCTTGTTTTTTCTCTGAATCTTTTTTCTCCCCAGCATATCTCAAGTTCCAGGAACATCAAGTCTTTCAAGCAATAGTGTCTCCTGGGGCTAGCAGGACCCCCCACAGAAGCAGATCTGAGATAATGGTCAACTAGATCACAGGATGACTGAGACTGCTTGACTGTACTGCTTCTTGCCCCCTGTTTTTACTCTCCCCCAGATAATCCTGGACCTATTGTCAGTACCTAGAAGACAGTTTTCTGAGAGTATCGCTAGACCTGCTATTTTCCCAGTGTGTCCATACTGAAATAACTCCTTTCATGTTTTGCCACCACTTGTCTCTGATTGGACTCTTGAGGTTGTGGGTGGCTAATCCTGGCTGTTCAGACCCCCACAGTCAAGTTTCTGAACTAGAATTCTGATAACATAAATGTAAGACTCTTAGCAAAAAGGAAACTAAAGAAATATATACCCCTAGGCAAAATCATCAACAAAAAGAAAAGATTAAAAAGAAACCTTGAAAACCAACAAGGATTAAAAAAAAGAAACAGGAATTCAATGAATGAATGATGTGTGTGTGTGTGTGTGTGTGTGTGTGTAAAATACAATAAAATAATACTTTTAAGGAATTGAGAGAAAAAACAACTATCAACAGAGAACTCTTTATTTTTTTCCCCTTTTTTAGTACCAGGGATTGCACCTAGAGGGGCTTAACCAGTGAGCCACATCCCTAGTTCTTTTTATTTATTTATTTTTAAAATTTTATTACTTGGGGATAAATCTCCCTAAGTTACATCGGACTTCACTAAGTTGCTGAGGCTGGCTTTGAATTTGTGATCTTCCTGCCTCAGTCTTCCCAGTTACTGGGATTACAGGTGTGTACCACCACACCAAACTTCAACAGAGGGTTAAAGTCATTTGCAAATAAACTAAAGAAAATTTAGCATAGCAGATCCACACCACAAGAAGAAAGAAAGAAAGAAGAGGAGAGAGAGAGAGAGAGAGAGAGAGAGACCAAAAAAAGATAAGGACATCATGAGGAGGTGATGAGGGGTGAGGGATATAAGTGCACAGAGGTAAGGAAGATCATTTGAGGACAGAGCAAGAAGCGGACATCTGCAAGCCAAGTAGAGAAACCAATCCTGCAAACACCTCGATCATGGACTTCCAGCCTCCAGAACTGCAGCTTTAAGTGCCTTGAAACATTTTTCTGAACAGGACTAGATCCAGTTGATGGAACACTGACTACTGAGAAAGGCTCTCTTGTAAAACAAGCCAAGCATTTGAGAGAAAAGCACACAATTGCCAGGGTTTTAGTCAGCTAGTTCACTGCTGTGAGTAAAGGACCCAACCAGAACAACTGTAGGGGGAAAATTTTATCTGAGGGTTCACGGTTTCAGAGGTCTTTGTCCATAGAAGGCTGGTTCCATTCCTTTGGGCTCCAGGTGAGACAGAAACAACAAGATGGCAGAAGGTGACAGAGGGAAACAGCTCACATGGTGATCAGAATAGCAGAGATGGACTCTACTCACCAGATACAAATATATACTCAAAGCCACACCCTAATTCCCACCTCCAGCCACACCCTACAGCTTCAGTTACCACTCAGTTAATCCCTGTGAAGTGATTAAAACACTGATTGGGTTAAGACTCTTACAGCCCAATCATTTCTCCTCTGAACCTTCTTGCATTTTCTCACATGTGAGCTTTTGACAGACACCTCACATCCAAACCATAACAGCCAGGTATACCTGGTGCTCCATCACTTAGGCCACAAGAAATCAACTGGCCGTCTAGCAGCTTCTAGAACCCATACTGCCATCACATCTGTACCAAATTTTTCACATTCCAGAGGGTGCATTGTTGAAAGGAAGAAATGACCAACACTCTTATTTAAGTTCTATGTAAAGACGATGATACTATTTTAACACAACAAATAGTATATATAGTATTGTTTGTTCAATGAAATGTAAAACTTGAAACTTGAGACCAGATAATAACTTATTTGCTCCACAGCAATACAACTCTTATTCTGCTATTGGAGTATAAAATAATAATCAAAAAAGTATTATGAACAGTGCTAATTTTTTAAAACTGATTAATAGAGAATTTGGGATTGGTTCTGTTGTTACAGTTGTGTTCAGTTATATATTATCTCTCCCTCTGTCTCTCATTTGAAATTATTATTTTTTTTTTTGAATTAACATTTATTGACATTTACAAATTACTGGCAATCTGGAGGGTTATAGTTTTGTAATTATATTTTAAAGAGCCCTTATCCTGGAGAGATACATTCTGAAATATCCCCAGAGTAACCTGATGCCTGAGATCTGCTCAGGACGGTTGTGGATGGCTGGCGGACCGAGCTTTGTACTAGGGACACAGCGGTTCTTATACTGTTCTGTGTACTGTACCAAATGTTCGAAATTCTTCGTATTTTAAAAGCATAAAAAGAGACTTGGCCAAGCTGACTACCACTCCCCCACTTTCAGTCCCACCCAACTTCTTCCCCTAAGCCAACCCCACGATTTGGGGAGCATTTATGCCCAAGTCTTCTCTGCTCCCCAGCTCCCCGCAAAGGCGCGAGGTGAGGTCCTAGGCAAGGGAAATGCTTTAACCGGAGTCCTGCCAGCAGCGTCACGATCCTCAGTGGCTCAGAGACTTTCGGCCCTTGAGCATGCGACGGAGGATGACCTGAACGCCGGCCGGCGTGCTCAGGCGCCGGATCCACCCGTGCTTGTGCTTGCGTTTGATGTTACTCGGCTGATACTCGTTTCCGCGCGCCTTGCCACGGGCCTGCTGCAAGACAGGGAGGCCCCAGGAGTCTGGGAACCCCAACCATATCCTGGGCTGTAACAACCTGCCACCTAGCTGCGCCGCCGACTTGCCGGCGGGGACCAATAGGGATCCGGCGGAGAAAGCCATGTCCAGGCTTTCTGGTCACGCTGTCCCAGCCGCCAAAGATTCCCTGAAATTATTCTTGAAGACTCAAGAACTCCTGGCCTGAACTAAATAATGACTGTTTCTTCTCAAATAAATAAGTGATATTTGACAATTTGACAACTAACCAATGATGTGCTGTAGAATGTGATGGTTGTTACCTTAATACACAGTTTCTCTTTTTATGCAGATTTTTGAAGCCTTAATTCTATGCAAATATGAATAACTAGAAAGTGCACCATATAAAGATAGAGATATATGTAAAGAAACAAGTTTTAAATCAGGTCAGATAACTGGTCAAAACTATGCACTATTGTTAGGAGCAAGTATTTTTAGTATTCTCCAGGAATTACAAAACAATCAAATTTGTTGTGGGTTCTAAGCTCTTTCTGAAATACCAATATTTGCATCTATGCATAATTTTCCTAGACTCCACTCTGTGTTTGCCTCCACGTTTGTGTTGTAGCCATTTCCTGTTTTCATTAAGAATGTTTTTAATAATTTGAGTAGGATCAAAATAAATCATATTCATTGTAGGAAGGAAAAACCTGCTGGATGAGCTTATATTCAGTCACACTTGGGACCACCATGTGGGAATCCAGTGTGAAACAAATGCAGTCAAAATTCAGCAGGTCGCTTGTAAAAACAAACGTAAAAAGCTGATGATGCTACTTTACTAATAAAAATCAACTATTAAAAGAACTAGATTTCAAGAGAAGAGCATTACGAAGGGTAAAGAGGGAACTTAATAAGCAATATTCTTAATAGCAAAATTCCTAAATATATATGTACTTAATAAGTGAGCTTCAAAATGCTCAAAGCAATATACACCAGAACAAAAGGAAAAAAGATAGGTACATCCACAATCACGTCTGAATATTTTAACATCCATTTCTTTGTAGTTGATAGACCCAAACAAAAAATTTAATAAGGAAAAAGATTTGAAAACGAGTAACTAACTGCAACATATATCTAAAAATCATGAAAGAGTGTATAGGGAGAAGGAAGTTATCAAAGAAATATTTTTTTTTCAAAATTGAAATTTAAAGACCAGTGCTTTCAAATTCATGTCCAGCATAATGAATGAAAAAAGACCTCTGTCGTGTCATGTTATCAAGAAATTTAAGAGCCCTGGTTACAAAGATATGAATCCAAAAACTCTTAAAGACAAAACAAAGAACAAACACAAACAAAAAGCATGCCATAAGTCAGAAATCTAATTGAATTATGGTTGCAAATATGATGGAGTAATTAATATTAGACTTACTATCATGCTATGAACAACTGTAAAATTAACAGAATATATAAAGTAGGTTTTTTTCAGGCATTGAGAAACAGTAATATGAAGCCATGACCCTGAGAGAAGGGAAAAACACAATGAAACCCACATTTCTACTGAGATACTTTCTACAGCAAGGCGCAGAGGTAGGAAGTTCAATGGCGGTCTTGCTGGGAAAAGAGAAAGGAGTTTATTTCTGTTCTATGAATTGCCTATTTTCTGTTTTTTTTTTTTTTTGTGTGTGTGTGTGTGTGTGTGTGTGTGTGAGCTTAGTGGTTTACACATTTATTAGATTCATTTTCCATGAATCAGAAATCTGGGCACCACATACATGACTCAGTTTCCACTTAGGGTCTCTCAAGGCAAAAGCCAAAAGCCAAGTGTTGGCAGGTCAGTGCTCCTTTCTGTAGGCTCTAAGAATCCACTTCCAAATTCATTGAGGTTGTTGACTGCTGGGAGCCATTAGCCAAGTAGGTATGACAATTTCCTTGCCAGCGTACCCCATGTTGCTGACATGTTGCAGTGACATTGAATGTACGTGACCTTGCTCAAGGACCAAGGCAGATTAGGGTGTTCCCGGTTTTAAGATAATCGTGTTTAGGGCGTTCCCAGTTTAGGTTCCAGGTTTAAGGTTTAAGATTATTCCTGCTGGGAATAGGGCGTATCCTGCTGCCTGAGTTCCCCTTGAGTTCTCACGGGATTTAGACAGTATATTTTGGGAGACAGAAGCCCAGTGGAGGTGGATTTGGGCAGAGAACGTGGATTTGGGCAGAGAACGTGGATTTCCCCAGAACGTGATTGTAGACGGCTGGTGTGAGTTCGGGAATAAAGAGTTGCTGTTTGAATCTACAAGCTGTGTGGTGGCTCGTGATTGTGTGCCCAGCCAGACTGCGGCATTTGTGCCCAGCCAGACTGCGGCATTTGGTGGCCCGTGCGTGGAACTTCTGAAGCTTGGAGGTAAGTGAAATTGCTCGCCCCTGAGGAAGAGCGAAAGAATGGGTGACCAACTCAAAAAACAATGTGTTATTGTTTTGATTTATCTTGTTTTTGTTTCAAGCTGCCTATCCCTAGAAATTTCTCAGGCAAACTGGAAAAAATGGTTGACTAAAGGTTTGAAGTTTGTCGGCCTTGAGGAAGAGAAAATTGATACAACGATTTTTTATTCCGTTTTTGTTTCATTCAGTTTCGGCTTTGTTTTGTGCTATCTTATTGGGTTGCGTTATCTTTATAGTAGATTAGAAATTAGTAAAAAACAAACCGAAAAGATGTTAAGTAAATTGTTAGAGGTTCAGACCATGGAGAAAGACATTTTAGATCAAGCAAAAGAGAAGGTCTCTCGAGCTAGTCAGACAGAGGAAGAAAATTTAAAGGAAAAGGGGTTGTTAGGAAAAAGGCCACAACAGGAGGCTGTTACTAACTCCATTTTATCACAAGAGGGCGTAATTCAACCAACAGCCCCACCGATGGAGACAGCTGAGTGGCCCTCAAACCCCGTAGTTGATAAATGGGATCCTGAGACAGGACCTCAAAGATTAGCATGCCCTGTACTTGAACAGGCAGGAGGGCAGCGAATTCACCGTGCTTTAGATTTTAAAACAGTGAAGCAGTTAAAGGAGGCTGTAACAACCTATGGTCCCCAAGCTCCCTTCACGGTAAGCATGGTTGAGTCCATTACTAACTTGGACATGACGCCAGCAGATTGGGCTAACATGTGTAAATCTGTACTAAATGGAGGACAATATTTGTTATGGAAGGTTGCCAATGAGGAATTTTACACGGAGACAGCTAGGCGAAATGCAGCAGCCGGTTATCCTCAAAGAAATCTAGATATGTTGTTAGGAAAAGGACCTTATGAGGGTCAACGGCAACAAATTGAATATGATCCTGCTATATATACACAAATTGCTGCAGACGCAGTTAGGGCATGGAAGACTTTACAAGGACATGGAGATTTACAAGGTCAGCTATCTAAGGTAATACAGAGAGCTAATGAACCTTACGCTGACTTTGTAGATAGGCTAATTCAAACGGCTGCCAAAATTTTTGGGGATACAGAACAAGCAATGCCATTAATAAAACAACTGGCTTATGACCAAGCAAATCGTTGCTGCAGAGAGGTTATTAGACCATGGAGACATGAAGATTTAAACACATATATTAAATTATGTAGAGATATTAATGAACAAGGACAAGTCTTGGCAGCTGCAGTACAACAGGCTTTAGATGCCAGGCCAAAAACATGCTATGATTGTGAACAAACAGGACATTTTAAAAGAAATTGCCCCATAAGAGGAGGGTTTAACAAAAGTAGGTATCAAAGAAATAAAATACCGGGTATTTGCCCACGATGCCGTAGAGGGAGACATTGGGCTAATGAATGCCGTTCTCAAACCACCATAGAAGGTACTCCCTTATCAAAAAACGGACAAAGACCAGGTATTTATCCACGATATCGTGGAGAAAGGCATCAGGCTCCATTGCCAAAAAACGGACAGGGGGGCCCAATGCTCCGGGGCCCACAACCACAAATATACGGGGCAGTAGAGGAACCCAGCAACACCATCAGGCTAGTGCCCAGGACACATTGTCCATTAAATCCCTCATCAGACAAACCTGAGGGAGCGCAGGGTTGGACATCTGTGCCTCTGCCAGAGCAGTATTAACTCCAGAGATGGGAGTTCAAATCATTCCCACAGGAGTAAAAGGACCTCTTCCCCAAGAAACAGTAGGCTTATTATTGGGACGTAGTTCATCTACATTAAAAGGACTTATGATAAGTCCTGGGGTAATTGATCCCGATTATGTAGGTGAAATAAAAATTATAGCTAGTTCTCCAAGAGGTATATCAGTAATTTCACCTGGAGATAGAATAGCACAGTTGTTAATAATACCCAGCCTACATAATAAATTTCCTAGTCATAGTGTAGAAAGAGGTTCCAGGGGATTAGGCTCCACAGGTGTAGATTGGGCTATGTTGTCTTTAAATTTAGATTCTCGCCCAATGCTAAAACTAAATATTCAAGGTCATGAGTTTAATGGGCTACTGAACACAGGAGCTGACCTTAGCATCATATCTCGTCAAGAATGGCCAAAACATTGGCCATTACAACAAGCCACTCAAACGCTTCGAGGCCTAGGAGTGGCGACTAATCCCCATAAAAGTTCTATGATATTAGATTGAAAGGATCCTAAAGGATGTGAAGGAACTATACAGCCATATGTATTGGATCATCTTCCTATAAATTTATGGGGACGAGATGTCCTAGATCAATTAGGTTTGACGTTAACAAATAACATCAATCCTAATGCGCCCACTACTAGGGCTAGACAAGGCTTTAGGAAAGAAAAAAGATTAGGAAAACAAGGGCAAGGTATAGCAGCACCAGTACAAATAGATCAAGGAACAGACAGACATGGGTTGGATTTTCAGAAAGGGCCACTGAGACAATCAAAATTACTTGGAAATCAGAAAGACCAGTGTGGGTTCCTCAGTGGCCCCTGACTAAAGAAAAGACACAAGTAGCCCATGATCTGGTCAAACAACAATTAGCGGAAGGACATATACAACCTTCCATATCTCCCCATAATACTCCCATTTTTGTCATCAAAAAGAAGTCTGGTAAATGGAGATTATTGCAAGATTTAAGAGCCATTAATAATGAGATGGTTATTATGGGACCTGCTCAATCAGGGATTCCTCAATTGTCTGCTTTGCCAAAAACTTGGCATGTTTTAGCTATAGA